CATGAATAGGAGAAAAAATGGCTCCTGAAAGAATAATTAATAATTCTTTTAAAAACAATTAATTATAAAAGAGTTTAAAGCAAGTCCATAAGTGCTTTTCTTACTGACTTTGCAAGACAAAGTTGATTCTTTTTTAAAAGTGATGTAAAACATTTTTTATATATATTTATATTTATATATATATATATTTTTGGATCGTTTTTACATTACAGGCTCACTGACTTTGCAAACCCTCCCTTTTTCCAAAATCAGCTTTTGTGGAATTTTTTTTCCAGCACTTCCAAACCCTCCACGACGTACAAAAATAATAAATATTGCATCCGTGATTTCCAAGGAAAACAAACACCACAGAATCCGGGAAATCAAAATCCCGGGAGATGTTCGGGATGGATTTTTCCTCTTTCAGATTGTGAGGTTTGGGGTTAAAATGGGAAAATATTGGGAATATTCCCCCTAAAGCAGCGGGAATCAGATGAGAGCAGCTCTTCATCCTCCTCTTTCCTCCTGCTGAGGGATGTGGAGCTCAAATCCCGCTGGAAATGAGGAATTTTGGGGATTTCTCTGGTTCGTTTTAGGAATTCCAGAGGTTTTCCGCCTGTCCCGGGGAGCTGCTGTAGGAATTTCCTCTTTTCCAGGTGCTGCTTCCTTGCTGCCAATTCCTGCCCATCCCAGAGGAGCAGGAGGTGCGGGAACGCTGCAGCCCCCGACTAGGTGTTAATTACCGCGTGTTAATGAGGGAGTTAATGAGCCGGGAAATGCCGTCATTCCCCAAGGGGAACCCAGCAGTGACACTTCCAATGTCGCTTCTGCCCCGAGATAAGCCCGACTTTACCAGAGTTTAGGCTGGGCTCGGTGGCTGTCCCGGTCTGGGTGGGATCCAGAATGATCCAAAATTACCCAGAATGATCCAGATTTATCCAGAATGATCCAGAATGATCCAGAATGATCCCGGGATTAGCGCAGGGCTCTGGGAATTCTTTCCCGGAGTTCCTGCAGGAAACGGGAGGGAAGTGGGAATTTCACTCCCTCGGGGTTATCCCAGCGCCGGGAGGGAATCGCGGTGAGGCTGGCGGGGCTCAGCTGGGACAGCGTGGTGGTGGCACTGTCCCTGTCACTGTCCTGTCCCTGTCACTATCACTGTCCCTGTCACCGTCATGTCCCTGTCCTGTCACCATTCCCGTCCTGTCACCATCCCTGTTCCTGTCCTTGTCACGGTCACTGTCCCTGTCCTGTCCCTGTCACCATCCCCGTTCCTGTCACCATTCCTGTCCCTGTCACTGTCCTGTCACTGTCCTGTCACTGTCACCATCCCTGTCCTGTCCCTGTCACGGTCCCTGTCACTGTCCCTCAGCTGTCACTGTCCCTGTCCCATCGCTGTCACTGTCACCATCCCTGTTCCTGTCACCGTCTTGTCTCTGTCCTGTCACGGTCACTGTCTCTGTCACCATCCCTGTCACCATCCCTGTTCCTGTCACCGTCGTGTCCCTGTCCTGTCACCATTCCTGTCCCTGTCACCATCCCTGTTGCTGTCCCTGTCCCTGTCGCTGTCCCGTCACTGTCCCATGTCACCGTCCCGCGGCTGTCCCTGTCCCAGTCCCACCGCTGTCCCTGTCCCATCGCTGTCACTGTCCCGCGGCTGTCCCTGTCCCTGTCGCTGTCCCGTCACTGTCCCGTGTCACCGTCCCGCGGCTGTCCCTGTCGCTGTCCCTGTCCCATCGCTGTCACCGTCCCGCGGCGGTGGCGGTGAGCCAGCGCGGTGCCAGCAGCGCCAGGCACAGCCCGAGCGGTGTGACCGCGCCCGCGGGTGACAGTGGCGGTGTCGCTGCGGGCGGGGACAGCGTGGCGAACACGGCGTCCGAGGCGTTCCGGGGCAGGGGCAGGTTACAGATGCTGCCCTCGCAGCAGGACGTGCACACCTGGAAAAACAGGGAATGAGGGAAACACCGCTGCATTCGGGAACAGCTCCTATGTATAACATAACATACAGAATATGTAGGATATACTCGAGATATTTTTATATATTCTATATCTATTTCTACAGTATATATTCTATATATTTCTCATTTTTCTCTGTATTTCCACCCATTACATTAACAAAATAAACTTCAATTCTACAATTTTTTATCATTTCTCCCTGTACTGTACTATATAATATAGAGTATATAATATTTTCATATATATTTTTATTTTTTAAAAAAAATTCTCTATATTTGCACCCATTACATTAACAAATTAAACTCCAATTCTATTATTTTCTAGCATTTCTCCCTGTACTGCACTATATAATATATAGTATATAATACTTTCATATATATATATTTAAAAAAAAATTCTCTATATTTGCACCCATTATATTAACAAAATAAAATCAAATTCTATAATTTTTTATAATTTCTCCCATAATGTACTATATAATATATAGATAATAATAATAATCATCATCATCATCATCATCATCATAATTTATTTCATTTTTCTCTATCTTTGCACCCATTATAGTAACAAAATAAACTAAAATTCTATATTTTTTCATAATTTCTCCCCATAATGTACTAAATAATATCTATTATTATATATTTATATAATATTAATAATAATAGTAATAAATAATAATAATATTATTAATAATATTATTATTATTTATTACTATTATTATTAATATTATATAATTATATAATATTAATAATAATAGTAATAAATAATAATAATATTATTAATAATTTTTTTCTTTTTTCTCTATATTTGCATCCATTACATTAACAAAACAAACTGGAATTCTATAATTTTTTATTATTTCTCCCCATAATGTACTATATAATATATAGTAAATAATAATAATAATATTAATATTAATAATAATAATTTTTCATTTTTCTCTATCTTTGCACCCATTACATTAACAAAATAAACTAAAGTTCTATATTTTTTCATCATTTCTCCCCATAATGTACTATGTAATATATAGTATTATATATTTATATATTAATAATAATAATAATAAATAGTAATATTCTATATTATATTTATTTTTTCATTTTTCTCTATCTTTGCACCCATTACATTAACAAAATAAAATAAAATTTTATCATTTTTTAGCATTTCTCCCTACAATGTACTATATAATATATAGTATTATATATTTATGTAATATTAATAACAATAATAATTAATAACAGCAACATTATAATTTTTTTTTTCATTTTTCTCCATCTTTGTACCCATTTTATGAACAAAACAAAGTGGAATTCTGTATTTCTGATCATTTCTTCACACCTTGTACTCCTCGTGCCTGATGTAGGTGCAGCCGGTGCTCAGACACTCCTCGAGGGCCACGCAGCGCTTGGTGACAGAGACGCTCTCCCCGCTGGCCTTCATCATGTGCTGGCTGAAGCAGTACCTCGTCCCTAAAAAACATGGAAAATCCTTATTTTCCCAATTCCCTGAGAGTCCAGCAGCAGGAGAAACAGGGAAAAAAAAATCTTGGATTTCTTTCAAATTGTTTTTAAAAAAAAAATGCAAAATTTTGTATTTATTGCACATCATGTGCTGGCTGAAGCAGTACCTCGTCCCTAAAATGCCCCCCAAATATGCAGTTCTTTTATCTTTATTCTTATTTTTACTCAATTAGCTATAGGCACGTAAATTATTTTTCTCAGTGACCCAACACCTGTGTGCTGCTTTGTATTCTTCATCCAATCACCTCCTACTACCCAAAAACCTCTGGAAGAAGAAGATGAAGAAGAAAGAAGAAGGACAAGAGATAACACCCTAAACCTTCCATTTTGTCTTCTGTTTTCTAAACCAGCTTAAACTCTGAACTTTAACTTTTTCCACCCAGTGACTTAAGAAAATTCTCTAATCTACACACTTAAACTTTTAGTTTTTCTATTTAACAGTTGTTTTCGTGGTGTTATATGAAATTCAATGTTTTCTTGGATGTCAGAGCCAGGCATCAGAGACAAGGGCACACTCTCTGTGCCTCTGACTCCAGCACTGGGTCCCTGGAAGTGTCCAAGGCCAGGCTGGATGGGCTTGAAGCACTCTGGGATAATGGAATGTGTCCTTGCCCATGGAATGGGATGAGCTTTAATGTCCTTTCCAACCCAAACCAGTCTGGGATTCTAGGAAAGCAACACCAGCCTGATTTCATCCCCAGCTGAGCCAGAGGAAAACAGGGAAGAGCTCGAAGTCCTCAACCCCATCCACTGCAAGGAGACAGAAAAGGATTAACTCCAGAATCCCACATTCCATATTTCTGGGAATAACAGGGCCCTGGCAGGGACAGCTGGGTTGGGATGGAACCCTGGGATGCGGCTGGTTACCTCTGGGGCAGTAAACATCCGGAGCCCAGCGGTTGCACTCGTAATTATCAGAGGCCTTTTCGCAGGTGAAACACTTAAATCCACGAGGATACGGCGTGGCTGAAAGGAATGGGAAATATGGAGTTAAAAGGGATGGATAATGGAGCTCAAATGGCCCAATTCATCTGGTTCTGTGCTGCTTTTCAGGAGAAAACAGCAACATTTTTTCCTCTTTTGATCCAAATTTCTCCAAATTTTCCTGTCAGTGTCAGCGGGTTGGTTCCGATTTGTAAATCCCCGTCCCCCGCTGCAGGAGAGGCACATTGAGGTCCCTGTGGACTCGTTTAACCCAGCCAAAGTGCCCAGTGCTGACTTCAAAGGGAGCTGGGAATGCTCATTCCCTTGGAATCAGAGCTCACATCCAACACCGCGGCTTTATCGGCGCTGATAACAAAATATCAGGTGGATTTAAACACTCTGGGAATTGTCCCAGCGAGGGAAAGAGCTGCTCCTGCTGAAGGCAGGCTCATGGCCCCAAAGGGAACAAAATCACTTGGCTGAACCTCCAGCCTCTGTCCTAATTTATCTCAGGGCTAATTCCTTAATTGCTCTCCTGGCAGCACTTCTGGGGCACTCTCAACCCATCCTCAAGGTGCTGCCACCTTCTCAGAAGCCAAATGGTGAACAGGTCACATTTCTGAGTAAATTAAACCTCTACAGCTCCAAGGGCCATATCTTGACCCTCTCTCCTCATCCCCTCCTCCCCTTGCTCTGGGCCAGATCCTTTTTGGGAACCAGAGGTGAAGCAAGAGGGTTTCATTGCTTGTTTCCTTTTTTTACAGAACGAGAAATCACCCAGGAGCAACTCTGGTGGGGCTGAGGCTGGGACAACACAATAATTAAATTAATCCCTGCACCTCTGACAGGTCACATTTATGATCCAAATCAGGAATTTCATCCTGCTTGCACAGGAATATAAATCTTACAGCCTATGAAGCAGTGAGTTTCTGTGGGAAGAGAAGGCAGGGACAGCTCCCAATCCCTGTTCCCATGGAATTCAGCAAGTTTGTGTCTGATAAAGGGAACAGACTGGTGAGGGTCCAGGGAAGATCTAAAGATGCACAACTCCATTGCTGCAGGAATTGCTGGACTCAAGGCAGGAGCTGTTGGTGCCTCAGCATCTGCCTGTAGCCCCATGTGTTCTTTAACCCCTTTTGGTCCAGTTTTACACAGAATCATGAGATGGTTTGTGTTGGGAGGGACCTTAGAGCCCATGTCCCATGGGCAGGGACACCTCCCACAAAAAAATTGGGATTTCTTCCACATCAGCTCGGCCCTACGAGAGTGAGAACTGTAGAAACCAGGTCCCTCCCAAAGCAAACAATTCCATGATCCCAGGTAAAACCGGGCTGGAGGCAGAGCCAAAAGCAAACCAACACAGCCGTGGCTCAAGAAGAAGTGGGAAAATTGAAAACTGAAAATATTCCAGCAGCCTCTGAGGACCATGGAAACGATGACTGGAAGTGGCTTTTGGGTTGGGCTCCTGGGAGAATCTGAGTGCAAATCCACGAGCTCAAGGCTCAGGAGGCAAGTGGTGTTTCCCTTGTCCCTGTCCCAGGGCGGAGGTCACTTACTGGAAGGGTGGAGGTAGACGATGTCCTTGGCGGTGAAGTCGCGGCTCCGCGCGGCCGGAGCGCGGCCGGACAGCAGCAGGAGCAGCAGGAGCAGCCCCGGCGGCCAGGCCATGGCCCGGCCAGGCCCTGCTCATGCGGTGGCCGAGAATCCCCACCTGGGCAGAGACACAGAATTCCAGAGTTAACCGGGCTGGAAAAGACCTCCGAGACCATCGAGTACAAGGCAGGACCAACCCCCCCTCGTCACCCACGCCACGGCACTGAGGGCCTCATCCAGGCTTTCCTTAAAAACCTCCAGGGATGGTGACTCCAGCACCTCCCTGGGCAGCCATTCCCATGCCAAATCCCTCTTTCCATGAAGAAATGGCAGAGAGCAGGGATAAGCAGAGCAACCCCACAAGGACCTGGCCACCACCTCGTCCCCACAACCCAACCCCAGAGCCTCCAGCTCCTGTGGTTATTTTGGCATCGACAGCCCTGGAAAAGACTTGGACAAAGGATCTCCCTGGATTTCCAGTGCAGTGGGAAGTTGGCTGGTCCCACAGATTCTGCTGACTCCTCATCTTCTCCTTCCTCGTGACTCCTCCTCGCTGGCTGGGCCCCATCTCCATGATCCTATGGGGTTCCTACTGATTTTACCTTGGCACTTCCTCTTGGGAAAAGCCACCATCCCAAAAAAAGTCACCATTGGATTTACCTCATCCATGCTCCAAAGGGATTTATTCCCTTTATGATGCCATTAATAATCAATTATTTTTCCAATGTCTCTGATTGATGGGAAGTAATTTAAGCAGAACCAATTAACCACTGTGGCCAATACCTCATTAAATACACAGCTCAAATTATTATAAACCCTTAAAAATCATGGAAGTGCCTCAAAAATCAAACAGGACAGGAAAATCCTGAAAAGATGAGGCTGCTGAGCCCGACATGAGCTGATGATTTCCTTTGGAATCCATCCAGAACACACAGGGTTGGGATGAGTTTTTCCACCCTGATCAACCAGGAGATCTGCAACACTCAGATAACTCCTAAGCAGCTCTGAGTATTTGGTGGTTATTATCCAATAAATTTTATTTTGTTGAGTTTTTTTTTTTTTTTCAGGAAAGAAATGACGGGGTTGGGGATGTCACTTCCAAATGTTTGTCCCACAGCAGAAATCCACCCAGGACCAGCAGCACAAAGGTTGTCATTGTCCCTCCTGTTATCTGCAAACATTTTTTATTAAAACACAGTGAAATCCATAAAAAATCCATAAAAAATATGAGGAAGAAAGATAACACACAACCCAGTGCTTTAAACTTTGTTGCTTTAACCTTATGAAGAGGGAATTTTGGATTTACTCCATAGATCCCTCTCAGCCAGGGGAGAATGAAATCCTGATTAGAAGCAGACAGGAAGCAAAACAAACCTCTCCCAACCATATGGAAGATGAAAGAAGCAGGTCCATGTGGGATCTGGAGGGAGAATTTGGAATTTGGGAATATTTTTTTTATCCCAAAAAACACCAGGAAGGTTTTATAAGCCCCACTCTTCATTTCAGTTTTCAGTGAGACCTTCAGGAGCAAAAAATGAGGATTTGATCCTGAGCTACAGCACTAAAAAATGAGGATTCACATCCCAAAAAGAGGAGCTCAACTCCAACTCTCATCAGCAGCCTGTGATTAACAAATTATCAAGGGACAAACAGTTATGGGATCATTAAGGCTGGAAAAGACCTCCAATATCATCAAATCCAACCATTATAGCCATATTACAAGTTAAAATACAGCAAGGTTGAAATAACGTCAGGAATTTCCTCCCAAAGAGACAAGAATTTGTTGGGTTTGCTCATGAGAAGCCCAAAAAGCTTTTTGTTTTTGTAGAGCTGATCAAAGCCTTGCAGATGAGGACGTTGGTTTTCCCAGTGTCCCTTTTGTGGGACTGACTGCTCTCCAAATCTCGTGTGGCAGCACTCAGGCATCAGTTTGGAAAAGTGGCTGTTAGAGCTGCCTGAGAGGGTGTCAGAATTCCTCCAGCTGCTCCCTAAAAATATTCACATCCTTCCTCTTGTAATGGCAAAGATTTTAATTGCCAGCTTCTAATGAGTTGCAAGAAACCATGGACAGAGAGAGAGGATTCACTCCCCCACCTCTGTTTTCTGTTTGAAACAGGTTTAATTACAGGCAGAGAATTACAATTTTGAAATCTTCTGAGTTAGAAAATTGTCCAGAGCAAGGCAAGCAGGGCCAAAATTTTAAACTGTGGAATTTAGGGAAGTGTTTATTGAGCAAACACCTGCCACCATCATTGTCACCATTTCTCACCATGAACACATTCCGCCTGCTCATTCCATACTCACAGGTAGGGTAAAACCAGGAATTTCCGCAAACATGGAAATACCCTGTGCCAGAAACCCAAATATTTAATATTCCATGAATATTTTGAGTGTGAACACAGGGGTACACATAATTCTGTCTTCTGGGGGGGGCAAATACTCAGTGATGTTTAAGGTAATGATATTTCACAGAGTGGAGTGGCAAAAAATATTTTGAATTAAAGTAATATTCAACACTTAAGAACTCAATATCCAATAATTATATATTAAATATTCAATTAATTCTGTATTAATTCAGAGTTTAGCACACTCATTTTCTCTGGTGTTACACTCACACATAAAAATAAAACGTAAGGAAGGAGATATAAATATAGATCTACAGATATGGATGCACTGTCTTAAAACCTGCAGACATTTGATAAAAAAATTTGGTTTGGTTCCCAAAATCCTACAAAATTCTAATTTTTTGCAGTGGTGGATTCTCTTCAGGAACCCTACAAGCCCTAAGAAGCTTCACCGAGGGCGTAAAGGGTTTTTCATTCACTCCCAAGCCCCTTTTAGCCCATGACTTTCAGCCAAGACAGCCAAACTTCGTACAAAACTTTTATTTCCAAGAATTATTGGTGGTGTACCAGCTCCCCCAGGGCTAAACCCCTGCTGGCAGAGCAAATACAAGGCATGGGCAAATATTTTTTCCCTCAGAATTCCCCCGGTTCCTCACACGGAGCCGAGCGCTCATCCCAACCTAATGGAAGCTGGCGCGGCCCGCTCGGAACGCGGTGGCGGCGAGGGGACACAGTCACATGGCATTTAGATCATGCAGTCTGTTTGTGAAAGGTCCTGGGCGCTGACACAGAAATCCCCCTTAACTCAATCTTCCCAGCTCCAGTGGCACCTCGGAGGCGGGAAGGCCGTTCCCGTTCCCGCTCCGCAGCGGGATGACTCCGGCCTGCCCTTTGCCCCGCCACGGTGGAAATGAACCATTGGAGGCCCTGAGCTGCAGCCCAGTTGCCCGTTTGTCAGGTCTCATTAAGGAGGGGACATCTCATCCTGGTTGGCACCAGCGCTGGGGACAATGGAAGGTCCCAATCCTCCCGGGAAGGGCCAGAGAGGAGGCCGGATATCAGAGCTCTGGTTTTAAAGTGTCGATGGAGGGGACGGTTATTTTTAAGGATGGATTTGTCCCTTCTGTCCTCCTCAAGCTCAGCTGGCTGACCATGATCAAACCCACCAGCTGGGCCAGCTGCAAGTTTGCAGTGAAAACACCATTCCAGGAGGGGAAAAAAAAAGCAGGATAAAAGGAGTCAGACAGCAAATCTTCCCATACAAACCCTCAGCCAAAGCCAGGCAGGAAGGGATTCCTGATTCACAGATATTTCTGTGGTTCTCATGCAAGTATGGAATAGGTTGTGGTGTTCAGGGCCCTCCACCTCGCTCCCATGGGAGATGGAACATTTCCCTGCTCTCCCTGGATTTCCAGCACAGTGGGAATTGCCTGGTTGGTGGGAGGTTGATGATTCTCCCTCACAGAAGGTTGATGATTCTGCTGACACCTCATCTCAACCTTCATCCTCCATCCCCTCCTCGCTGCTTGGGCCTCACCTCCAAGTTCCTACAAGGTTCCAACTAACTTCATCCTCACATTTCCTCTTATCCTTCCCCTTGGAAGGGCCTCCATCTCAGAGCTCCCTAAATCAACTCTTCCTTGAGTGAAATAAGCCAGCAGAAGCCAGGAAAAGTTCCCTCTCAGCAGGCAGGAGACTTTCTGAGCCCTAAAGCAGCGATCACAGCATGGCCAGGCAGCGCCATCTGTGAGAAACCGCCGAGGCCTCAGCACGAGCCGCCCGCTCCCGCGAATTCTGCTGTGCAGGGTCAGCTGGGCCATCCTTCCTCTGCCTTAGGATGATTATTCCTCAGTGGGAAACAAGTCCATGGGAACTCTGAGCAGCCTGACGAGGCTGGAAGAGCTGTTCCTGGAAGCAGAGTCTTCCCTTCTCCAGGAATTCCGCCTCATGCACCTCCCCAGTGTGACTTTTGCAAATAACTCTGCAGATTTTCCTCCTGCCTTTCTTCCAGGTCACACAAAGCTACAGGCTGGACTGTCCATTGCCAAATTTGGAATATTTGGGTTCATTTTCATCCCCTTCCAGCTTCCAAATCGAAGCCCAGCTCTCTGCCTGTGCCATCACTGTCCAAAGACCAATGGGAATGGCGATGGAATGTTTTCCATCTGGCAGCTGTGCCAGATCCCAGGCAACAATCCCAAGGACTATTTGCAACTTCTCCAGCTCTAATTGCCTTTTTCCCCTTCTCCTTTATCCTGCCCAACCTTTTTGTGTCTATTCTATTTATTTCTTTTGGCTCCCACCACACGCGTAAAAAGGTTATGGAAAAAAACCTGGAGTTCTTACGCATTGCCTCCAGATCCAGATTTTTTTTCCACGTGCCATTTAGGGGATTTTATTGTCTGTTTCACCCCAGGAATGGTTAAATGTGCATTTCCCTCCCCATAAAATGGCACATAGTGAAGCTCTTGTATCCAAAGAACCTCTCGGAGCTCTTGCAGAGGGGTTCACTGCCTCTCCTCAATTGCAGTGAGCAAGAGTAATTAAACAATCAAACACAATTAGTGCACTAATTACTCCCAGGAACGTGGCCCATCTAATCGCCTTGCTGCTAATTACAAAGCCTGGAGTTCATTGAGCTAAAAGCCCCGGACCTGGGGAAGTGAAGGGGGGGACAATATGTTCCCTCTCACGCTGCCTTCCCTCGGATGCAATTTAATCTTTCACAGG